ACGGGAATCACGGAATCTAGGAAGCTGAAATCTTAAGGCAATAGCCTCCTGCCCACGCAAAACCTTTCAAATCAATTCAACGTTCCCGTGCTGTCGGGTATCACCTGCGGTCCTGTGAAAATTTTGGCGTCCCGATCCGTGAAATTTTTAACTATTTTTGTACAGAATAAAGTACAGAGCAGTGAAAATCATTAACGGGCAGTCGTTCAGTGAGCGGAATTGCACAAAACGCTTGATCGCACCAGCTGTTCTGGTGCTCGCTGCTATTTATTTTATTATATAATCTATCACAATTTCAGTTTGATGACGCACTGTATTGCCTCTTATTATCTCACTTTTTTTTTTCAGTTTTCGGTGAAAATTTCGTCTCAAGTCCATTCCCGCCTGGTTGCTCGGTTCCATATTGTGCGCATCATATTTTTCGTCCACTTGCAATTCAGCAAACGCACGAAAATAGCTGTGAACCCACACGGCGATTATCTGCTATTGCTGGAACATCGGACGAAAATTCATTCGCACTTATTTGTAAAATATCGACTCCCTCTCCGATCATTTATCATAATTTCTCCGAGAAAAGGTACCCTTTGGGCCAAACTTATGCATATTAGTAGAATTGCGAGAAATAATTATCTGAAATCTCCAAGATTTTTATAAAACGACAAATGCTGCGGAACACCGACGAAAAGCCAGCAAAGAAGCCACTTTAAAGAAAAATGAGAAGAAAGGGGGAAAGGCATATCTTGTCTTGAAAGCCAGATGCACAGTAGGTGTGATGTGGAGCTGAACCCGATGGTGTAGTGGTAACACATTGCATCCGGAGTTCGATTCTCTCCCGGTCCAACAATTTTTGAGAAAGAGCTCTGTTCACGACAACGACTTTTGACAGCCGCGGCATAATATTATTGATTTCCTGTTACGCGCTTAACAGATTTTCCACTCTGCTAGTGCTGCATCGCTTGGTTATCAGCTTACCGGCGATCCCAGCGTGCAGTTTGTTTCGTGCGAAGTTTCCCTCTAGGGGAGCATCTTTCTTTCATCAGTTCTCTGAAGCGAAGCACTTTTACAAGGATTTAGCCGCTTCGAGTTATCTTTGGTCTGGGGGTCGGCATTTCGCCTTGAAGATTTCCACATGATTGCCAATGGCAGCTTTTGAGACGATTTGATCACGTTTGCTTTTAATACACATAAATTTATTTAACTACGCATAATTTTCATAGCTCGACCTGAAATTGTGAATAAAAAAAAATAAATAAGTCAATTTTTTAGTTGTCAACTTATTTCTGTTTGTATTTTTTTTCAGGATTTGTCACATACCTGTGCAAATAGCAATAACCAATGATGATGTGCGTAATCGACGAAACTGTTCGGTGACCGTGCATTTCCAAGATTCTTTTTACGTCCGAAAGCAACCGCAGCCAGAATTAGGCAGCCCGGGAGGTTCGGGAATTGTTCCCCCAGCTGCAGTTTCTGCATTCAGCACTCCGCATTTGCATTCCCCATCGCCAGTTGTACAACCAGTGGTTGTAGCGGATCGCACACGGATGCGTTCAACGATAGCTTTTGGAAGTACGCGAATTTTCGACATTCATCTCAGCGTTTACTGCTCATCGGTCTACGATATTGCTCGATTTCGGGTTATCGGTCAATTCGATGATGACGATGAGGCGGCTGCAGTTTCTATACGTGTTCCGTGCGCATATGTTACTGTGATTGATCAACGGGTTCCGTAATTTTTTTGTTTCATTTTTGCTAGGGAAATATTTGAGGTCATTTGTAGGGTGCATTTTCTGTTTTTAGTACATTTTGCATTTCTTCCCCCTCCCCCCATCCTGCCCCTCCCCACGCTCCTACTTTGTTCAAACTTGGGGAGAGTATTCATGCTTGGGAAATTTCCAGTGCACTGAGAGGATCCGTTTGAATGACCCTTTCTAGAGTTATTTAAATGCGGCTGACTCAGAACTGAGCTACTATCGGCTGTACTGGTGGTGAGAACGGACAGAACAAAGAATTAGCAAGCATTCGAAATACTGGCAATGGAAGGGTATTGCCCTGATTAGTGAGTTCGAATTTGAGTTTAATGAGACGCT